TGACTCACTGAGACAAACAAAGTATAAATTCTGTACAAAAAAATAATCTGAAAAAATGTATAAAACCTTTCTTACCTATTATTATATGATACAAGGTGTATGTTTTAAAATTTATTTTCAAAGAACCGCTAGAGACATTGAAACAGGCCCCAGCGTCCTCGCTCATCAACAGCTTCCCAATAGCAAAAGCCGATTTATATGGAGTATTACCTCCACAACCGCTATGGGAATTCATCTAGTATAGAAAATGATAATATTTAGGAGTTTGCAAATTACGTCAAGCATTTTGGGAGAACAGTCCTTTTATTTCAATTCAAATGGGAAGAGGGGGCAAATAACTTGTGACGTCGCAGCCAATTTTAAAAACTGAATAAAATAAAATTATATACTTATTTTGCCACTTTTAAAAATACACAGCTAATTGTATATTTAAAATGTAATGATGTTTGATGCAAGCATTGATTTAAAAATAATTATTTAACAAAAACACACACAAATTGAAGTGATGTGACAAGGAGAAGGGGTTTGACAATTTGTAACAAAAGAGGGAGAGGGTCTAAAAAGTTGTGTTGCTTGACGTTATTTGCAAATGAACCCATATGTTTAATACCAAATAATAATATTGCAATAAAATGGAGATTGTTAACTTTTATTTCATAACAATTGTGTTGTAATATATAGCAACTCACCACTCTACCCTTGAAAACATTGCTAGCCTTGACTTTTTCTTCAAGTAAATCCACATCAGATTTTGTTAAGCATCTTTCAAAAATGGACTCTGTAGACGATATACTAGCGCTTGCTGTTGATGTAGATTGCTGTAGCAATAACTTATCCACCTACAAATGTAAGAAAAACTTATTTTTTTAACATTTACAACAAAAGCACATCTAAATCCAAAAATTAAACATTGAATAGAATATCGAATTATACTATATGACTGCAAATTCAATCCAGTCTTGAATCCTTAAAAAACAATTATTTTTTAAACTAATTTTGTTTTTTAAATATGTCACTGTACTAGATTAGAGTCTTAAAGTTCTATTTACTGCTTCCTCTCCATTATATTTCTAAATTAGTTCAGTATAGTAATCAATCATTGTCATAAATAAATACTATATCTTACGCTGACATTTTACAGAATCAGGGTGGTCAGAAAATTTTCATGTTCATTTTCCTAGACTTTTTGTGGCTATAAAAAACTCAAAGTTATACATGTATTATAATCTAAAAGTTTAATGTGTGGATTTACAGAAAAAGCAGCAATAAAACTCGCATAAATTTGTCCTTAACTAACTTTTTTCTAACTTTTTTTCCAGGTTTCCAGCTTGCTGGCCACCCTGATTATGTTTACTCTTTATGTATGAAATTCTCTTGATTTAAACACATGAATTTTTCTCAAGTCGCTGAGTTAAGTCAAGTTTCTGATTCTATTCAAAACTTTGACAACACAACTTTTTGAAAATCTTAAAAAAATATATGTAATGAAAAGTTAAAAATATAAATATTTTGTAAAAAACTGACCATGAAATCTTACCTAAATGGAAAAAATAAATAGAACCTAAACACATTGAAATGTATATTCTTAAAAATTTAATTTACCCTGAGAAAACAAGTGTGTCTCTCTGCAATCCTCCTTATCTGAAACACAAGTTTTAGAGCCATTTTCTATCTAAATAGAATACACACACACACACACATATATATATATATATATATATATATATATATATATATATATATATATATATATATATATATATATATATATATATATATATATATATATATATATATATATATATATATATATATATATATATATATATATATATATATATATATATATATATATATATTGAAATCACTATATGTTTAAAGAATTGTATTTAACATATAAATTAGATTTGTAAACATTCTTTAACAGACTCGTGCAGTTATTCAGAGTTTCTGTTGTTTAATTCAAATTCTTATTCCCAGCAACTTCTCAACAAACATATATGATTTCTATTATTATTTTTAATACTATTTATTTTAATAATTTAATTTTTTTTACTGATATATTTGAAAACAACTTTGATTTTTCTTGGAAAACATTAGTTTCTTTTGCAAAGTCAGTGTTATTTTCAGCAACTGAAAAGCTTGCTACTTCACTTTGTATGTGTGGAGTTGTTAATGGTTTTAGAACTTTTATAATTCAGTAAAAAAATAAACATGTTTATCTTAACAAAGCATTATTTTAATTTTACAAAAATTGTTAACCTGCTATATTTGGAATCACATTAGATATTCTTTGGCCATTTGAACTCTTCAAATAATGTCTTCTGTGTTGTTCTTCATCACTAACTACAATATCTTCATTACTTTCACAGAATGCCATCGTCATCTTTCTCCTTTAATATAAACTTTACTTTTAAAAAAAAAGTGCACTATTTGTGCAAGTATTTATTGCAAAAAAAAAAGAATTATTAAAAAACAATTTTAGTAAAAATTACTTCCGCTTTATTCCTCTTTTCTCTTCAGTGTCTGTCTCAATATTTGACGTATCTGCTGCTTTTTCCAAGCGCGACCGAGCTTCTTCATAAAAATCTATATACATAATATCATTTATCAATATCTACTGTAAACATAACTGCAATAGTTGTGGCTCATTCAATTATATTACATTTTATTATAGTAATATGAAAACCTGTAGTGTATAGAATCCTAGCAGGGTATATCTGCCAATCAGATGTTAGTGCCTGCAAGCTAGTGACAGCCTTGTGAATTGCAGAGGAACTTTTAAATGGCGGCCAGAAGCATTTACCATCATTATTCATCCAACTTTTAGCTACTAGTTCCACTTCTTTGATACTTCCATTTAAAAATTTGACAATGGCAAATGACATTTCAATAGTCAGGTACTATTTAAGTCTAAACAATCTTATATATCAAAAAATTAATGCAAATTACAAAAAAAAAAATTACATTAGTTAACATCAATACACAATGCATTATTAAGACATAAAACAAGCTAAAATATTTCAATATTTCTTTAAAAAATACATAAAAAATTTATAAACTATAATGTATTAAACTCACATTAAAATTATTCAATAAAGTAAATATGTCACATTTATATCAATTTATAATAGAACATTAAAAAAAAAAGACACATGCACAGACATTCGTAACAAAATGTGGTCTGGAAGTATAGCAAAAATTCTATTTTTAATTTAAAATTCAGTCATTATAGGCAATATCACAATGTCTCAGCCGAAAAAAAGCATAACCACCTTTTTGAACAGGTATCATCAATCCTTTGGTCAAAAGTTCATTTTTTTTTATAAATGTTGTTTTCAAGTTAGCTAATGAATTTACATAACCAACATCTAAATTTGATGTTTCAAAATATTCAGGAAAAAAATTGCTAACTGAATGAGGATTTAATGCCTTGCATTTTACAAGGTCTACCAAAACCTCTTCTACTAAAATAAACCCTTTGTCTTGAATGAAATAGACTCTGTCTCGCAGATTTGATGTGATTTTATTATTCACAACTCTGACAGGGATTTCTTTACCGTTTCTTTCTTTAAGAAAAATATCTAATTTTTTTCTCTCATCTAGTTGTTTCACTATTTGGGCAACAGTCTGATGTGACTTTTGCACTATTCTTTTAATTCGACCCAAAAAGTTTTTAAAAGGAAAAGCTGACAGATGATCAAGACTCTCCCCAAAGTTAATACAATCATCAGCTAAATGAATCATGGTATGAACATTATATGTCACAAAGGTCTCCCCATACAAAATTTGTACTTCTCTAACAAACCATGTAAGTAATTGTTTAGCGTATGCCACCAACAACTCATTTTTTACCATTTTATTGGAAAGCAGTATGTGCATAGCAATTGAAAGCAAAATAAACAAGTCATAGTTAGTTTTATTTATTTTTCCTTTTAAAACAACAGGTCCAGCATAAAGTAGGAAGAATCAAAACTCTGTTGCTTTCCACTTCTCAAGTTCATTTAAAGAGCGTGGTCTGCCTTAAAAATTAGATGGTGTATAACTTCGCAAGTTCATGAGTTCATTTGAAATACTATCTTTAACAGATTGACTTATTCTAATAAATCTGGGACCTTTACACCAGTTAAATAAAAGTTTTTTTACTACCCCAAGACATATAAGGTGCATATAGTCCAGTGGGAATCCAGTTACCATTGGAATATTTAATTAGACAAGTGGAGAGAGACTTTTAAGTTGGTGACCTTCTTCTTTATATAAATTATTTTTAAAGGCTACATCAGTACGAAGAGAAGCATTTGTTTCCAATATTCTTACACCCTGCATTTGTGTGCCAACTGCCACACATCTTTCACAGCTATGGTAGCCACTATGCCCTATAATGCATTTAACAAATGCCCTTGCAGGCGCATCACAAACAATAGCTTTAATATTCACCTGCAGCTTTTCATATCCATTAGTTTGCAGTTCTTTTATTTCATAAACAAAATCTTTAAAGTAGTCATCCAAATTACTTGGTTTTCTTTGACTATAACAAATTGCAACAGCATATTGTCCTTTTCTGTTAATTGTAATTACTATAGGCCAAATAGAAGTCTTTTTATTATTGTATATAGGTGCACCATCAATACTAACAATTATATCAAGCTTTTCCTTATTTCTAGATGTTAACATGTAATAATCAATTGCACTCTTAACTCCAAGATATTTATAATCACCTCCACTAACATATAAAACATCAATTTTTGGAAGAGATTTTTGTAATGTCTGCCTGCATTTTGGTATAGATGGAGTAAATTTATTAAAGTGTTTTAAAAGTGCATTTAAAGCATCATCTTTTATACAGTATTTTAATGACCACTCGTGTAAAAAATCTTTGGTTAAAGTTTGAGTATCAATACTACTGAATAAACTATTTGCAGCTGCAATGTCTTCAACATCACCATAACTTGATTCAGCTTTATTTAGACCAACTTCATTTTCAGGTGAAGTAATGGAAAGCATCGATGTATTGCTTTGCACATCTTCATAAACTACATCACTGAGCACATTTTCAGAAACTCCTGAAATCACTTGAACACCTGAATCTACATGCTCACAATTCTCTCTACCAACAATATTGCACTCTTCAAGAAGATACTTTATTCTTTTTTCAGTGTCTCGTTTTTCTTTCATAAACTTTCTCACGTAGAGGCTTCTATCACGTTTTGGCATTATTATATTTCCTATCACCAAAAAAAAAATTAATATTCATAAACAGGAAAAACCATTTAAATTGCATTTGGTACTATATGAGTTAAATTTGCAGTCAGAATTTATCAGGCAAATAATTTTAGCTAAAAACATTACTAATTTACTATTATTAATAGTAGTATTATTATAAGCCTAATCAAATGGCTGCTAAATTGTGACTTTTGCATGGTAAATTGTGAAAATATTTTCATAATGTTTAATTATCCTCAGTTACTTAAAAGAATATCCTAGTTTCATCAAGTTAAAATTTTAGTTAAAAGTTAAAATTCATTTCCTACTGTACTATAAATAAAAGTTTACCATTTTATTACCAAAAAATAACTTTATTTTATTTAAACAATCATTAAAAAAGTGCCTGCAGAGCATGCTGTTCGCTCAGCAAATTGCTGTTGTAAATAGCACGCTTAACATTCAATAAATTAGATTTTTTGTCAACAGTAATTCAACGAGTGTATAGTGTTTAGGAGTAAACGTTGATTTGTTGTTGATAAAATTGCCGTTGAAAAAACATACATTTACAGTTGATCGGCGTTGATCGCTAATATCAACACGTAATCAACATTGATCAACGTCAAATCAACGTTTCATTTTTTAGAGGGTATATATATATATATATATATATATATATATATATATATATATATATATATATATATATATATATATATATATATATATATATATATATATATATATTAGGGTGTCCCAAAAAAAAATTAATAAAATTTTCCTTTAGTTTTGTGTGTAGTTTTGTCTGTTAAAAGTGAAACTAAAAAGGTTTTTTAAAAAATTTTGAAGATTGACCCTCCCCCGCCCTTCTTTCAAAGTTTTAACCCCCTCTGCTTACTTTTTCAAAATTATTTACTTTTAAATTAATTTTCGGCTAAATATATAAATGATATATTGCAATTAAATATGTTTTGTATCAATATTAATTACTACTATAATTCTAAACTATGTATCATAGCTAATATCAGTAAATATAATTTGTTTTAATTCAATGATTCTCAAAAATTATTAAATAATTTTATTCGCAATGCTTGAGATGAGAAAATTTTTTATGATGAATAATAATGTTACATACATTATTCAAATAATTTTTTAATTTATAACTACTTTTTTATCTATAGATAAAATAGCACATATAAAAAATATTTGATCAGTTAATAAATTGAGGAAAAATGATGAGAAGTTTGATATTTTTGTTGGTAATTTATTACCTAACCTTGAAGCAAAGATGTATAGCCAACTACCAACAAATGAAGATGTTGTACGCCATTATCTTTATCTTACAAGATTTGAATTGAAATAAACTGGTAAAAATGAAGTTGCACCTGTAGTTTGGGAAAAATTATTGTTTTTTGGAAAATGGCAGGAATTCCAATAAAACAGAAAAAAGATTGATACTACATCTAATGATACTACAGAATGATACTACATCTAAGTCATCTTAGAGAGAACTTGATGCAAAAATGCAAAAAAAAAATCTTATGCAACTCAAATTCTGAGTTTTACTAATAAACTATCATTGTTGTTTGATATTGCAGCAAATGCAGAAAATTTGATAAGAAAAGATACCTCGCGTAGTATCAATAGTCAGATTTCAGATATAGACTCTCTCAGATCAGCATCACTTAAAAAAGCAATTTTTGGGCCTATTAGACAAGAATTATGCTATGAAAGTGAAAAGAAAGGAGGAAAAAGAGAAACATAAAATCAAGGCTATCGAAAAAGAGAAATCTAGAAAGGAAACAGAAGAAAAAAGCTTCAATGTATTGGCATCATTTGATAATGAAGACAAAACTTATTATAAAAATGAAGAAAGTACTATTGCTAGACAGAAAAAAAAAATCAAGATATTAGAAAACCTGAAAGTTTCCTTAATGGCTGATAGGTTGAATCTATCAAACAGAAAAAAATCTGGGATCATTTTAGCTGTAGCTGAAGCATTAGGTCACAATTTAGATGAAATATCTATCTCAAAAAGCACAGCTTATAGATCAGGGAATAAAATTCAACAGCAAGTTTCAGATGATCTTAAGAAAACATTTATTTCACCCATGTACTCTTCCATTCACTGGGATTCAAAGCTAGTATCTGAGGTTGATAATAAAGTGGAATGTTTGGCTATTGTTGTAACAGGAAAATCAAGTGCACCTGAAGTGAAATTGTTGTGTGTATACAGGATTTTTGATACTATTGGGCGAAGTCAGGCAGCAGCTACCATAGATGCTGTAAAGACATGGAAACTAGAAAAAACATTTGTGGCAATGATTTTTAACACAACTCTATCAAATTCAGGTTGGATAAATGGTTCTGCAAAGTTAATTGATAAACACTTTAACAAAAAGTTACTTTGGTGCGCCTGCCAACACCAGTTTTTTGAAAGAGTTTTGTCTACTGTTTACTAAAAAATTTTTGGAGAATATAGATCTCCAAATTACTTCAGATACTACTTTAAATAAAATAAAATTTGAAGAACCAGTATTAAAGACCAAACAAGCAAAAGTAATAATTTTTTTGTCTAGTTTACTTAGCCGGAAATCTCGAAATACGTTAAGAGATAATTATCGAGAATGTTGTCAACTTGCTTTGCAATTACTCAATCCAAAACAAATAAATATTCAGTGGCACAAACCTGGAGCCTTCCAATATGCTAGATGGATGTGTACAATCTTGTACAAAGTTTTATAGAGAAATTATCACGGTTTTGTAAATTTACTTACCTATTTGATGTGGAAATATGGCTTACGTGCTCAAGCACAGTCGATGCCCCATTTAATGATTTGAAATTCTACAAAAAAATGCTTATTTATAAAAAAATTGACAATGATGTTGCTGTTGCTGCCCTGGAAATGTTTAATCGGTACCTTTGGTATTTAACCAAAGGAATGGCCCCACAAATTTTATTTTAATCACATGTTTGAGCATATCAAAAAACTAAAATCTGTAAATGATACAGCAGAACGAGCTGTTAAACTAATTCAAGACTATGCAACATCTACAACTAGTTCAAGAAATGCAACATTACAAAAGATGATTAGTAGAAAGAATTTCTTTTACCTGCAATAGAACACCACTGAAAAGTTCTTCCTCTTATAAATAAACAAGCAATTCAAAAACTTAATTTTTGAAAATATGTTTTAAACAATATCTTTTATTATACCTTAAAAATATTGTTATTTTGCTGTTATAATTTTAAAAAAATGAGATTTTTAATTTCTTAGTTCTTATTTCCATTGTGCTTTAATATTGTTAATCATTTCTTTGCTTCTTTGTTTAAGATAATAGACTACTAGTTTATTCAAATCCTTCAAAAATTACATTTTAGATATTATTTACATCTAAATTGACTAAAATTTACTCTTGAATGACAAAATTAAAAAAAAAAGTCAAAAATTATTTTAATTTCAGAAATTTGGTCTCAGAAACCCAAAAATATCATCATTTCGTTGCGGAAATTATCTCAAAAACTATTGAAACTATTAACTTGAAATTTTTTAAATTTACTTTTAATACAATAAAGAAGATCCTGTACCAAAATCAAAAAAATTAACTGAGCAGATTTTTTTTTATAAGAAAAACACTTGACAATTAAAAGATAAGGCATTTTTGACCATATTTGGGCTTTAATATCTTTGATTCGACCACTTGATAATCCATTCTGTTGATATGCTTGCCATCAAAGTGTAACTTTGATGGCGACCATATCAACAGAACCAACTTTTAACCATATCAACATTTAACCAACTTTCCATATGCAACTTTTCAATCATTTCTTCCTTTAACTTGATTGCCTTTTTGATTGTTGACTTGTAAATAGCTGATTGACATGGATTTAGGATGTCAATGCCTTCATGAGCCAGTTGCTTGCATAAGTTAGCATAATTTTCTATATACATAACATTCTAGAACATAACATTCTAGAACATAAAATGTTCTAGAATGTTCCAGAATGTTCTAAATTGTTCTATATTGTTCCAAAATATTTTAAATTGTTCTAGAATTTTCTAAATTGTTCCAGAATGTTTTAAATTGTTCTAGAATTTTCTAAAGTGTTTTAAACACTTCTAATCTATACAAGTTTTAAATGATTTACAGGAAAGCCACACGTATTAGTAGTAACAGTAACAAGATTAAATACATGACAAAACTTAATATGAATTGCGGGGTGACCTTTTATAAAAAACGAGAGGCATTGAACATGTTGTCAATGTTTTCTATCAAAAGTTCATTAATTTATGACACAGGCAATTAATTTTTTATAAAAGTCAAAAACTCATAACCCTAATATATATATATATATATATATATATATATATATATATATATATATATATATATATATATATATATATATATATATATATATATATATATATATATATATATATATATATATATATATATATATATACATGCATATATACAAAACTAAAAATATTCAATAACGCTCATACTCTTTTTGTTTTTTAAAGAGTATTCAAAATAGTTAAATAAATTTTACTTGATTCAATTTACTCTTTATCATATACTTGCACTTTACCTTTTATCATATACTTGCTAAAAACAATATTTAGCAAGTAAATGATATAAGCTCTATTTTAAATTAGAACAATTTAAAGCAGATAAATTTTATTCCATTAAAAATTATATTGCTGACAGTACTCAAAAATACTAACACCGGCTTGGAGTTATGTGGAACATTTTTGTTCTTGTACCACAAAACACAGTGTTACTAATTTAAAAAAATAATTTTCACTTATATTTTCTTTTATGCTGAGTAATACCTTAAACCTTACATTTTTTAGAAAAAAATATTTCATTTACATTGTGAATTGACACAATTTAAATAAAATTAATAAAAAATACTAACACTTTATTTACTATGTCTCCATAAAATAAATTAAAAACTGACTATTTTATAGAACATTTTCAGTTTTTTCCCGTCATAATTGAAGTGCTACGAATTAATACACAACCTTGCAATGGCTTCCAAAAAAGTTTAATTGTTGTTGCATCTAAAAAAAGTTGTATGGATATTATAACGGAGGTGGAGAGTGATGAGAAAAGTAACGGAGCGATTAACTCCTTTCAATTTTTTGAAATAAAATTTAAACGCACTTTGATAAGAAAACGTGTAAAACTCGTTTATTGAGAGATTTTTTATTGAAGTCTTTTACATTTTTATCACTTAACAGCCTGGTAACATTAGTATATTTCATTTGGATTCCTATTCTTATTTTATTTAGAATAAAAACCACAAATACGATTTGGTTTAAAGTATAGCAATTTTCAACTGATACAGCTTTGCCAAAATATCATATTTTAATGGTTAAAAAAGCTGTTTCGTCGAAAACAAAATGGCAAGTCATTGGAATGCATAAAATGAAAATAAGCAATAAAGAATTTGGCAGATGCCTTAATATTTCTGAATTCAGCGTTCGTTCAACAACAAAAAATTATTTATCAACTGGTAGTGTCAATGATAAACCTCGTACTGGGCGTCCAAAAAAACTGACAGCACTCTATGAAAACATGCTTTACATGCTAAGCAGGACGTAACCCAAAAGCGGGAGTATCAACTTTAGGTGCATAAATCAATAGTTCGCTGGTAGACAAAACAGTTAGTCAAATGACTATAAGTAAGTTATTACGCAAGAAAGAATTAAATTCATTTCATTGAGTAAGAAAGCAATTGTTGACATTAACCGATCGCCAAAGACAAAAAAAATGGTGCAAAGAGCATTTAAGGTATTCAGTAGAGCAATGGCAAATGATTATCTTTAGTGATGAATTAAATTTCGAAATTATTAACAGAAAAAACAAGAGATTTGTTCGTCGCAAAAATACAGAAAAATATTTGAAGCAACACCTATTAAGCCGTATTCAAAAAGGTGGTGGTTCCGTCGGCATATGGGGATGTATATCAGGTTCAGGCAATGGCTGTCATAAAATATACCAAGGAAGATTAAACCAGTATGAGTATCGTGACATTTTGGAAAACGCGCTTATCTCTAGTCGCGATTTGTTCCAGGCTGATCAAAACTGGTTATTTCAACAAGACAATGCTCCATGCCATAAAGCGCATTCAATCACTGATTATTTCCTTAAAAGTAATATCCAACTTATGCCTTGGCCAGCACGATCACCAGACTTGAACCCAATTGAAAATTTATGGAGCTGGATGGATTATCAACTAACAAAAAAGCAAATAACTAGTCACAAAATGCTCAAACAAAAACTGGCGAAACTGGCTTGAAATACTAATCAAGATAATTGAAAACTTAATCGAATCAATGCCTAGGCGAATACAAGCTGTATTAAAAATAACGGGGGTTATATTCCGTATTAATATATTTCAAATAAAAGAAGTTGTATGTGCGTTTAAACTTTATTGCACTTTCTTCTAAGTAATCTTTTGATTACTTGAGTTTGTTGTTTAATTTCAGAAAAGATTTTGCGTTTTCTTATTCAAAATTATGTTTTTTTCTTAGTTAATAATCGACTAAGAATATTTAAAAAAAAAAACCTGGACCCTTCCTCATGTTTTCTCTTTGTATCACTTTAAACATACCTTAACTTTTAAAAAAACTAGTGTGTTTAAACTTTCTGTACAAGGTGTATATATATATATATATATATATATATATATATATATATATATATATATATATATATATATATATATATATATATATATATATATACATACACACACATATTATAGCAAAATGAAATAATTGATTATTACAAAATATTTAACTATAGAATAAAGTAACAATAACATAGGTTAGCCATAAATTATTTATATTAATTACTATTAGTTTATTTGTTTGTTTTTTTATTATGATTGGTTTATAAAAGACAAACGTTAATTTAAATTTTAGTTGATGGGAATTGGAGCAATTGGACCACCTATAAATCATGTTCAAACTTATGTGGTATTTGTTTTACAAAACAAGAAAGGTATTGTAACAATCCTGTACCAGATGGCGGACATGATTGTTTTGGTAATAATGTTCAATATCATGAAAATAATACAATATGTAGAGGTAAATATTTTCATATTTTTAAATGTTTTTTTCTGTAATATTTTCAATTAAAGTTAAATGAGAAAGTTTCATGAAAATTAAAACTAATTTTTCACAGTGAATGGTGGTTGGACACAATGGTCTTCATGGTCATTATGCAGTCAGCCATGTCAAGGTGGTGTAAAAACAAGGTATCGTAGCTGCAAAAATCCAGTACCAAAATATGGAGGTTTGCCGTGCAATGGAAATAATACAGATAAAGTTCCATGTTATTCAGATAAATGCAAAAGTACGTCTAATTACCGTTTTAAACTGAAATTTATGTGCGTGTGTGTATACATATATATATATATATATATATATATATATATATATATATATATATATATATATATATATATATATATATATATATATATATATATATATATATTTCTTTATTCTTATATGTTTTTATTTGTTTATTTTTATATGAACTAACAATTATTTGAGATTTGATTCGTCAAATATTGTAAAAAAAATTCAGATATTTAGTTTAAAGTCTGAAATTTACAAAATGGGTCGCTATTTGCTTGAACAAAGTGTGGAAATATTAAAAACTGATTTCTAAAGTGGTGATTCTCTAACTCAAACTGTGAGAAATTTGAAAAAAGAATCGGCCAAAAAAGACATGCTTTCAAAGGCTTTTCTATGACAATTTGCAAATCGTGTTTGTGTAACTGGTTCACTAGTAAATAAAAAAACATGTAATGTCCATTTCCAGCAAAATTAACCGTAAATATTGCCACTGTGAGTGGTAGTGTTTGTAAATGTCCATTAACATTGATCTCAAAAGTTAAACCTTTCACTGTTAACTTTGCACCGAATTTGATCTTTTGCACACTGTCTTTGAAAATCGAATAATTAGCAAAAATGGTGATGTGAATTGGCTACCAAGAAGCTGCAATCTGACACCATTAGACTACTTTATATATATATATATATATATATATATATATATATATATATTATATATATATATATATATATATATATATATATATATATATATATATAAGGCTCATTTTAATTTTTTATAAAGTCCTGGACAAAATGTGTCCGATCAAATTTTTTCAATATAATTTTTACGGTTTTACGGAACCATGTTATGCAAATGAAATCTTTGTCATGTTATTAAGTTTATTTAACGTTAGTTATTTTAAATATTTTATCACACACTTTTACTTTTTTTTTACTAAAATAGTTCCTATTTAATATTGTATTTTTTTTTAAATAGATTTAAATTTTTATGCTGTAACTGACAACGCTCATTTTTTTGTTTCTATTTTGACAAAGAAATCTGATTTTTGTAGAAAGAAATAGTATTAAGTTATCTCTTTTTCAGTTTATCTCAAATTATATCAAATTTCAATCATCTCAAACTTCAGTTGTAAATTTCTTTTTTTATTTCGAAAATGGGCTCAAAAAACGGTTTATAAGTCTAAAATAAGACTTTTGAGGCACTTGAGCAAATTCAAAATAAATAAAATTCTACTAATAATATGGGTCTAATATTCTACTAATAATATGGGTCTATTCTACTAATACATACATAATAATACATACATAATAATACATATTCTACTAATACATATTTTACTAATAATATGGGTCCACACAGCAGATAAGACTCATTTTTTCATGACATCAAATTGAAGCAGTGTAATATATATATATATATATATATATATATATATATATATATATATATATATATATATATATATATATATATATATATATATATATATATATATATATATTTGTGTGTGTATATATGTATATATTGTGTGTGTATATACATGTACAACTTATTCTTTATGTCTGACTTCTGTAAGTATTTTAAAACACCAACCTTTAATTCAGTATTTTTTAATTTTTCTGGTAACATCAATCATTTACAAATCACTCTCACAGCTTTGTAAAACAGTTCAGAACTTTATGATTTCTTTACTGAAGATCAATTATAACTGCATTTTTCTAAATATCAATAGTGAATCCATTATTTTCAATTATTAAAAAAACAAGATAGATAAATGACTGATTGAAAGATGAGTTTAATAGTAAAAGTCTTGTTCCATATAAAGATATAAAGTATTTTTAATTATTTCTCTCATGAAAGTATTTTCAGTGGATTCATTAAAAAAAATTCACACAAGTTAATATGCCATTTTTATTACAATTCTATGTTCCCTAACACACTTGAAGATTAGTTTATTTTTCCATGTTTTTTTTGAATTTTTGTTGTATTGTTTAAAATCTGTAAGGAAGTTTCTATAAAAATTATATAAACTATAGCTATTGCCTTATTATGGCATAGATAGTTTGCAATGTTTTTAAAATTAGATTTAATATCCAAACACATTTCCTAAACTAAATGTTTTAAAATTTTAAGATCAAATTAATAAAATCTTTAAAATTTCAAGTATTTGATTTTTTTAAATAAATGGTTTAATAATTTTTTTTTTTTTATTAAATCAAATGATTGCACACAAAGGATTTTATTCATAATAGTTTTTATGAAATATTTGAAAACCTGAAACATTTTAAGATAATGAGTACTGTCTGAATCTATTATTTGATTTAATATTAAAAAAAGTCATTGACTAAAGCAAAAATATTTTCTAAAATAATGTTGTATCAAAGTTAAGCTTTTTCTAAGATAATTTGTTTTATTATATATACTTTTCAAATACATAAGTATTATGTTTTATGCAAATCAAAGGTAATTTAACTTCATTTTAAAAATATATTTAAATTTTTATGAACAATCTTCTTTTTTAAATGTAACAAAATAGTTTTTAACAGTTTTAATTTAACATTTTTTTTTTAAGAATGTTATTTTAGCTATCAATTAATTTGATAGGCAAAAAAATAAAAGTTGGACGTTTAGAGAAAAAAAACAACTTCAAAATCTTATTTAAAAATGTAAAGACAATATTGATAAATTTAACAGTTTATTAATGCCATAAAAATATGTAGTGAATAAAAAACTCTAATAACCTTGCTGTTTAGAAAAGTTACAGCTATATTAATCAAAATAGTTTTTTTACTGAGAGAATTGTGCTAAATTGTAATTGTAAACTTTATCAAAGCAATCTTTTTATCATAAAATAGAAAATCTTTTAGCAGATTATGATAAATAGAAAAAATAAAAAATCTGTTAAATATTATTTTTGTCAGTTGCTTGATACTACTTGTTTAAAGGGTATATGAATAGCAAGTGAAGGTTTTTTGACTCTTCTGTTCAATTCATTCTTGAAAATTAAAAAAACTAATTAGTAGTATTTGACAACTAATAAAAAATTTTTGCAAAAAAATAAAAACCTAATTTGAAATTTTTGGTTTAAAATACTTGATACTTATCTTAAAACTCAATTTAAAATTTATTAAGCCATATTACAAAAAAAGTTAAAATTAATTAAAAAATCCAAATGCATAAAAATTGTTTTGTAAAAAAATATATTTTGAAAGAATTTTTGCTATAACTTCTGCAGTTATGGTGTTTATGATTCTTTTTGGTGTTATCAGTGTTCAGAAATGTAAAAAGTAATGTAAATTATTTGAATATATTATGGTGTTTTTGTATATTACGTATTATGCTTCAAATTGCTTTAAAATGCTATTTACTTATTTTGAGAAAGTTATTTTTCATAAATAAACTTGGTTTTAGATAAGATTTTTAATCAAAGGATTTATTTATATAAAATATTTATATAAAAGCTTTATTATCTTAATATTATGCAATCAAAAAATGTTTCCTGTTACTTTAATAGCTAAATGTAGAATGGAAAATGAGAATTTTGCTTCATAAGGCATTTAAAATGCATTATCAAGCAAAATTAATGGAATTTTTGAATTTTTCTCATCAAAATGTTCCAGTATTTTAGTCACATATTTAAATTATTAATATTTGGTTTTAAAGTTATTCATTAATGTTTAAATATTTTTTTCTGTGTAAAAATTATTTTTTTTAATTTGAAATGAAATAGTTCTGAGATTAAAATAAAATTGATACATAAAATTATAGCAGAAGAGTGTGATTACAAATATGAATATCCTTGCAATAAAGAAACTCGCCCATCTTGTTATTTGATGCTGATAAAATTGCAATATCTTGTCATCAAGTGTGATTATGCGTGCTAGAGAGTCCGCAAAAGCAATCATGAGATTTAAAAATTGGTGATGACAGTGCTCATAAAAAGTTTCCAATTTGCTATATAATGTTCTTACATTGACAAATGTTATAAAGTGCTATATTAATAGCGCACTAGGTCAACGTAGTAGCTCCTTTGCACTAGGTTAACGTAGCAGCTCTTGTACTTCCTAATTTTGTGTATATTGTTTCTGTCTGATTCTAATTTTTTTTAACTATCTATGGCAAAAACAAAAGTGCAGTGCGACCATAAAAAAACAAAAACGCAAGAGCTTATAAGTTCTTATTGAGTTATATTTATAAATTTATTCAATAATATTACACTGTTACCTGAGTTAAAAAACAGTTTCGTATTCCTTGATATTTTTTAATTATTAAAATTAACTTCTATTAAATAAGCTCTTATCTAATTTACTTTTTTTTTTTATTTTCTTTAAAAAATTAAAAGTTTATTATAAAACTAGAAATTTAATTTAAAATTACTTTTCAAAACTAGTATTATTTTAACAACTGATTCTCCCCTTAACTCTTGTCAATGGTATGTCCATCTTTTAATTTTAGAAACTGAATGCATATCTTCATCTTCATTTGCTGCTTATTTCTCATGTCTTCATCTGCACTGTCTATTTCACTGTCATCTAATTTAAAATAAATAATATTAAAAAAAAACTATACTACATATTAAAACAAATTTCAAAAAGTTTCAATTATAAATATTTATTTTTATTAAAACAATGTGTGGAATATTAAGAACAATAAATTAAATAAACCTTACTTGACTTTTTTACCAATTTAAGTCTGAACTTTTAAACTTCTTATAGTAATTTTCTATGCATGTTTCATTTGCACAAGTTTCTATTTAAATTGCATTTTCAGGTTCACTTGGTTAAAATAGTATAATTTCCATTCTAAGGTGTAACAACTTTAAATTTTTTATTTATTATGTTAGTGCTAAACAAAAACACATATTCTACATTAAAGCAAGTGACATAATATTTTATATCTGTGTGTTGTTAATTAAAGGATGAGAAAAAGCAAACTTAAATTTTCATTTACTTCTGTGCCATGCAAATTATAAAGAAATTAGTTGATATATGATTAAAAAAATGTTTTAGCAGCATCTATGATCCCACTTTACTTTTGGTGAACAAAAAGACTTGTGTTACAAACTAAAGACCATGGTTTTTTTGCCTTCTAATAGATCATGACACCATTGTGTAAAGATTCATTATCTTATTTTTGCTAAAGTGTTTGATAATATCTCTTACATAAGACTGCTACAAAAACATGAACCCTTTAGAATTGAATGTAATATTTTAATATGAACTAATGTGTTTCCTATATCCAAGATACTTATAGTTTATATGAGGCAAGTAATGTTTGGGTCAGAAAAAACATATGAAATTAAATTTAATGGTGCAGATATCAAGCATAATTTTGTGGATGCAAAAGTCATAATGCAACTTGTTTAAAAAGCCTGAAAAGTAAATGATTCAGAAATATAAAAAATAAAGGCTTCATTTTTAGGTTATCCATACTTATTTGAAAAAATAACCTTAAATTTTTAAAATTAAACAATTGTTTTGACATGTTTAAATAACTTGCATAAAAAATTTTATGAGCAAAATAACTGTTATATGAAATCTGATCACTTTAATAGCAAAATTAGGATATTTGTTAATATTTTTTGTTGTTGTTAATGAAAATCTATATATTGATATTACTATATATTAATAATATTATTTTACGTAGATACTGCTTGCTAAAACTCTCAATATATTTAACTAATTGACTTAATTTAAGTTATATTTAGAATGTTTTTACAAGATCACTTATAAAAAGATTATATAAAAAAGATATTTCATTAGAACAAATTTTTGAATTTTATAGTTTTCATTTTTGGAGTATAGACACACTATAATTTATCCATACCTTAAAAATTTATCTTTTATAAGTTCTCCCTACTCCAAAAATTTTTTTATAACAAAGTCATTGTTCTGGTAGTTGTTTTTTTTTTTTTTAATTTAAAAAAAAAAAAAAAAAAAAACTTTTTTTTTTTGTCATTTTAATCTAAAAAATAATTTTGTATATGTTTTTAGACGTTACAGTCAACTTTGGTATTTTTTTAACAGATGAAGGTTATATAGCGCAGTATTCAGATCTGCCTGATAAAGTATATAAATCACTGGAAGACAAAATTAAAACTGCAGTATTTATTTTAACTTATTTTTACTAATATCTTACTAAGTTTGTCTTTTTATAAATATTTTGTTTTTTGTTTAATAACTTATTGTTTTTTAGATAGGAAACGTTTATAACAAGTTCAATAAAACTGTACCATTCAACTTAAAGTTGAGTTCCATCAAGTATGTAAAACATTTGTTTTCACTCTATCATTTTCCTATATTAAATCTATTAAAAAGATTTATTTTGAAAAAATATTATGGTAAATGCTTAATGCAACAATAGGTAATAGTTAGGTAAAACAAAAGTTTTAAAACGTCAATACAAATTATTTGCAAAATCAAGAAGAATTTTGTTATTAATTAGAGAAGAAGAACTTTTAACATGATCATAAAATAAAAAGAACACACTTTTAATGTAATAAATTACGTAAAAGTTTAAAAAAAAATTTAAAAAATCTGCTACAATCATTAATTGGAAAAATGCACCACATATTGTAAACATTTAAGAATGCACTGTAAAAAGTAATATCTTATCAAAATAATATTACAAGTTCAGAAAAACTTTACAAAAATAAATTAAACTTTTTGTAAGTAAATATATTATGTATGTTAAATAAGTTTACTAATAAATACTAGCAGTAAGCAACCAGTTATACTTTAATAACCATGTAGCTTGATCTATTATTTAAAAAATATAATTAAACCATATATATATATATATATATATATATATATATATATATATATATATATATATATATATATATATATATATATATATATATATATATATATATATATATATATATATATATATATATATATATATATATAATATTTTAAGTTAGGCTCCCAATTAGCATTGTTATTACTTATGGTTAACGACATAAAAAGACTACATTAACACCAGTTAAGTTATTTTTAAACACTGTTACATCACAGGTACCAGGAGATAGGGTTGCCAGAAGTCCCACTATCATGGATGATCCCATACATACACTAAGCAACCTGAAAAATTGGTTATGATCTGTTCCACACCTACTTTTTATACCGAGTGTTTGGCAAATTTATTTCATTTCAATAAGTAGTTATAGCAAAAGATTTCATAGATTTCATTAAACGATTGGAGCTATAACTTTTAGAGGTATTGTGGTTTTGTTAATTTATAAAGAGTACCATTGATTAGTACTAATTTTATCTTTCTTTTAGTTTAATTATTTGTTTTACAATTAAAATAAGTAATTTCTTAATCTTTGAGTTAAATTTTTCTCACATCTTTTAACATTATGGAGCAATCAAAGGGTTCTTTGTTATACTTGTTATAAATGTTAACTTCTAATGTTAGACGGGATACTTAATATTTTTTTGGTAATCTCTACTTTAATAAGAAAATAATTTTCTTCACTAAAAAGCGTTTAATCCACATAGTTAAATTTACTTATTACATAAAAATAAGTCTCCATCATTGATAAAAAAAAAAAATTTAACAAAAATTTTCAAAATAATTAGCAAATGCTAAACAACACAACCTAGCTACAACAAAGCAGTAACACCCCTTGGTACTAAACGCTGCCAAGTTACACCTCAGCTTTAAGTGAACTGCTTGACTATCTTGCTCTACATATTTGCTAAGTCATACTACTTTGAAAACATAGAACCAACATAATATTAACTTATATACTAACTTTAAACACATATATACTAAGTATAAACGCATATGACCTTTTATAACACATCTATCCTAGGTAACACATGTAAACACTTATAAATATTAACACACAACATACATATATAACACTAACATAACACATGTAAACATATTATATAACAATTAAAGACAAATATAATTAATAAAACAATATAAAAAAGTAAAAATTATAACAAAAATCTTAAAACTTTAAGTTAAGAATAATTAACATAAACATTATTTGTGTATCTCTTTTTACCTACCAAACCTTGAATGGGATGTTTATCAATTTTAAAAAACAAACTATTAAATGCTCTAGATCTTAAACAAGCAACATAGTTGACCATTAGAGAAACACAAAATTAGCGGCGTTTTAGAACAAAAGGTAAATTAGAATCTGATAGAGGCACCTGAATTTGAGGAACAAATTCACGTTTACCAGCAAAAACACCTGTCAAAACCTCTGCATCAATATAGTTGTTTTGAAAGGCACAAGTTTTTGTTTGAGTGCCATTGCATAACCCAGATATGAGATTTAAATTTCTTAGTATCATAATTACACAAACAATTTTTGATAACATGATTGATAATGACTTCGCATTAGTTAATAACAAAATGATACGTTTAGCATAATTATGTCGTTCAGCATCCCAAACGGCAATATATATCTTTTTAACAATCGATTTGTTTTTAAAAAATATTAGGCATTATCCTAGTTGTATAAGTTAATTAAAATTAGTTGAATAAGTATCAGATCACATGGCTAAAGAAATGGAAAATAAAATAAAATTAGTATAAAATAAAAGTACAATAATATAAAAACTGGACATGTATTATTTGTATTTTAATAAAATTATGAAGCATTATTCTACCAGTTGTAGTAGTATCAGACAACAAAGCTAAAGAAAAGAAAAACAAAATAAAAGTGGGATAAAACAAAAGTACAATAAAATAAAAACTGGATTTAGTAATGTTTTTGTTTTTATAAAATTACAAAGCATAACCTTACCAGCTGTCATAGTGTTAGACACTAAAAATGACACTAAAAAATAAATATCAAAAAAATTTTAAAACATATAATAGTTAATTATAGAAAAAAAGTATATATATAATTTTTTTTGTCACATTTTATCTATGAAATTATCTAAAGCAAGAAAAAAAAACTTTAAAAGCCCAATCAAAAAAAAAAATATCAAAAAAGTCAACGATGAATATTATTGGTAAATGAAGCTAAACTGACTATATTGAGTTGGATTCAAGGATCTATTACCCTGTATATATATATATATATATATATATATATATATATATATATATATATATATATATATATATATATATATATATATATATATATATATATATATATATATATATATATATATATATATATATATATATATATATATATATATATATATATATATATATATACAGTATTAGACAAAACATTTGCAACCAACATCAAACAATGCTAAAAAGTGTTCCTAATTTTACATGTCTTAAAAACGAAACGAACTATACTACCACAGCAAACAGTTCAGGAGTCTGAAGTCGTAGCATGCCATGGCATGAGCAATCAGCTGACAGGTGATAGCACACGGGCAGAATTTCGTTGACAAGTTTTTTGCTTTGTTTCATTTTCTTAAGTCTGGTCCGTGTCAACGTCATGGAAGTTTTTTAATAATTAATAATTAAAGTATCCAGAAGTTTCCAGAAGCATGCAGAAGCTTCCAGAAGTTTCCAAAAGAAGCATCTGGAAGTATCCAGAAGCATCCAGTAGTATCCAGAAACATTCAGAAGCATCCAGACGCATCCAGTAGCTTCCAGAAGCATCGAAAAGAAGCATCTAGAATTTTCCAGAATAGGTTCACACAGGTTCATTTTACTATATAAGAGACATGTAAACCGACATGTAATTAAGTCAGTATATGGAAGTCAATCAGTCAGTGTTATCAAGGCAGTTTATCGAAGTGAGTTTTATCAAAGTGTTTTATCGAAGTACATCAACACAAGAAGTGAAATACAGCTTACAGTGTTTTGTTACATCAATACAGTACACATCCAACCATGACGTTGTGTTCCCTAGAGCATTATTGTATCATCACAAGGTAATTGTAACACGGTAAGCCTTGAGAAGCGTGATTATTTATTTTTATTATTTTCATGACTTTTAAGTGCAAAAATGGCTCCCGACAGTCTTGGATTTAAACTAAGAAATAAAATTATTGGCGATTACGTATGTGGAATGTCACAACTAAGTATTTGTAATAAATATCGCGTGAAAAAATAGACCGTATCAAGAATATGTTCCAAATATCGTTCTTCAGGGAAGTTGGCAGCAGATAACAAAGGTGGAAGACCGCGTTCCACCACTTTTTGTGTACAAGTAATAAACTTTGTGATGAATAAAACCTGAAGAACATTCTCTCTAAACAGTTACATAGTTACTTCTCTAAATTGTAAAAAATGCAACACTTTTGTATAAAGAAACTAAATAAGCATTATTTGGTTGCACTTGTTTTGTCAGATACTGTATGTATATATATATAAATAAATAAATAAATATATATATATATATATATATATATATATATATATATATATATATATATATATATATATATATATATATATATATATATATATATACATATATATATATATATATATATATATATATATATATATATATATATATATATATATATATATATATATATATATATATATATATATATATGTATATATATATATATATATATATATATATATATATATATATATATATATATATATATATATATATATATATAAATTTTCTTAACGTTAAAAAATAGAGATAGAACCCTATTATTCTAACGCCACGTACCGTAACTTTATAAATTTTTATGTATGTTCAATGTTTCAATTTTTATTTTATAATATATGAGATATACAATATATTTCTATATATGTAGTATATTAATATATTTTAGTTATCAATAGCTGTATGTTAATAAAGTAAAAGTTAATAAATAAAAAAAAATTATATAAATCTTTTTTTTTTTAGAAACGTAAAAGATTATCAAACCAAACCTTAAACAATTTACTTGAAAGATGTTGTCAGGCATGTTTAAATTTTCTGGCAATTGATTAAAAATATTTAATTTATTAATTAAATGATAAAGACTAAGTTGAAATAGTTATAGATAATTAATTAATATGAAAGTTTTTTTTTTTTTTTTTTTTTTAATGATTTACGTTTAAGTTGGTTATTTATAATTTACCATTCAAGAATTTTTTTTTTATTATTATTATTTTTTAAATATTGTAAAAGTTAACATTTTTAAAATAGTCAATCAAGTCGATATCTTCTGTAAATTGTTTTTTTTGGACGTTTCTTTTCCTGGCTTTATTGTAGACAAATTTTCGTCTGACTTTTTTCCCGTAAAATTAGGGTTACGGAAAAAAAAGTCTTACGAAAAAAAAGTCTTACTTTACTTTGGTTAAAAAATCATGGAGAAAAATAATTAATAAACATTTTTAATAATGGCGGTAATAAACTGCTTTTGTAAAAGTTAAATAAAAATGAGTGAATAAAAAGAAATTTAATTTACCAAAACTAAAGTATATAGAGTACAATGGGGTCAAATGGAATAGTTAAAAATTTTAATAATTAATTTTTTACGGAAAAAGATTTTTCCTTTTTTTTAAAAAAAGTTGTATTTATTTGTAGAGTATTTAGAGTATTTGAATATAAAAAATTAAAATTTTTTTTTTTTTTAATTTTTTATGAAACTTTATTTGATTAAAAAAAAAATTATTCCATTCTACACTGACATTCGTGGAGAATGAAGTATGCAATTATAAGTGTAATTAAAACAACACTTTATTAAAAAAACAAAAAAGCAATTAATAATAGCAATTTAAAAAATAATCAATAATTACAATTAAAAAAATCAATCAAACAAAATTAACTTTTTTATTCTTGTGATGATGTTGAGCCGTTTAGAGGTACTAGAGTTTGATTTGAGTTTTAACTTGTGTGGCACTTTTTGTAGCAATAAAACTCACTTTTTACGTATCGCTTTGGTATGCATGTTTGACATAGCCAAACCTTGTACCTTGAATTTTCACACTGGTACCATTCCATAATTTGACTTGGTGAAGTTTCGCCCAAAACTTTTCGGCACTTTTTACACTTGAATTGGTTTGCAGCTAATGTTTTTGTTGGACTTGTTGCTTGGTTTATTTGCTGTTCTCCATTAGAGCTAAGCTAAGGTTGTTTTTTAGCTTACTTTGATGCTTTTTTGCTCTCAGCATCTTACAACCTTTTAAGTATTTTAGGTTTATTGAGACACTACCCTTCGAATCTTGGCACATCTACATTTTTTCTTTTTTTGTATCAACGTGTTGGATACGAAACAATTGTTGCGAAGCTGATCCAAGTGATTAGGCTGATTGCAGTTGTTTTA